GCAGTATTATTTGACAGTATTATTGCAAAGCATAGTTTGATTTAAAGGCAGCAGAGGCCAGGAACACAAAGGAAGGAGAGGAACCTACTTGGCGATAGTCCCCAAGGCACACTGTTCTTGGAAGAAGTACTCTGTCTATGGCAGTGATGACCTCTATGCATATGATGTATGCTGTAGAGACCCCAATCTGGAATTGCTGTGCCACTCTCCTGTAATTGAGGGGGGCAGAAAGCCATCAGATGGTGATTGCCACCCTCTCTTCCACGGAGATGGCCCTCCTCATCCTGGTGTCCTTGGCCTGGAGGTGAGGGCGCAGAGCCTCTGCTATATCGAACAATGTGGATCTGGACATCTGGAAGTTCCTTATCCACATGTCCTCATCCAGAGTTGCAGCACCTCATCTGCCCACCAGTTTCTGATGACCTGTGGCCTGACCCACCACCAGCATGGACGGGGGACAGTGCAGGCATGGAAACCCCAGCCCAAGCGGCTTTGGTGACCTGAAATGCTCCATAACAACTCATGGGCTGTGAAGCCTGTGATGCCACGCCGCCTCATGAAGCGACGGACGCCAGCCAGCACAGCCCTGCACCTTGCCCTGTGATCCTGCTCCAGCTTCTTCAGCTCTGCCTGCAACTCACGAACTAGCACAAGAGCAGACTCCATTCTCTTCATAAGTGGCAGCTCTGGCACAGCAAAGGAATGGCGACAGCACGGAAATGGCGATGGAAAAGCAATAGTGCTATAGCGATGGAAGTGATGAAAATCGCATGCGATGGATGCGGCGAGCATTCCTTTTTCTGCGCATGTGCAAGAACTTCTTTGCCGGGTCGAGGTAGGGATCTTTGCACTTGTGTGTAAACAGGAGATACGGTTCCCAGGAGCGTATCCAGCGTGGTTTCGCCAATTCCGCAATAATGCTAGTTGCGTCTGAAAGCCATTTCTATCATGTGGGGTCTATACCAGAATGGTTCCGGATTGATTCCATCACGCTCTTTTGCCGCTTTTCTGCCGCTTTGAGACCCTAGTGTGAAAACGTCCCCTCTGCTGACAGGCTAAGACCTGCCTGTTCAGACATGCATTTAAAAGATAAAGTTCTTAAAGAATGGACTAGGATGTTGCATTGTTTTAGACATTTTTTTACCTTCTGTAACTGTATTTTAGACTTTTACCATGTAATTTGTTTTAATATTGTAATAATTTAATTCTATTTTAATGTAGCATTTATATATGCTTTTAATTGTATTTTTTAAATATTGTAGCTGTTCTGAGTCCAAATTTTGGGAAAAGGGCGAGATAACAACAACAACAACAACAACAACAACCCCTTCCTGCCCAGCTGCCATCTCAGTGGATGCTCCATGTGACTGGCCACACAGTCGCATGAGCAATACAGTGCCCATACAATGCATTGGTGTGCCCAATGATACATTGGCAAAGAACAATCATTGAGACCCCCCCCCATACATGCCCACTTCCCCCTCTTCCCCCCAACCCTGTTGGACTGTCTGATTTGTGTATGTTTTCATTGCATCCATTGCATTATTGGTGACCTGCCATGTTTGTCATATTTTCTCATCATGGGGTGTATGACAGGACAATGGTGCAATGGACCGATGGTGTAGCTGGCCCCTCATGCATCCATATGCTCATAGGGAAAAAAACTTATGGCAAGCAATGGTGCTCGTTGCTGCATCTCACTGGTCCCAAGGTGCATGCTCCAGACTGCTTGTGCATGCTTCCTTCGTTTTCTACACTCATGCCATGCTGTTTATATGCACATGCAATTATGCACATTTTTCACATTAAGGCAGCACATCAGAGCTTCTTTTTGCTCTCATTTTTAGCCCCAGAGCATGGCTTTGTGTTGGTTTGCACCCAGTTTCACATTGTATGTCATCTGGACAGGTAGGCTTCATGTTGTTTTGAAGCCACTTTAATTTGCCAGTATGGACAACCCTTAAGCATTTCCAATCTGTGGGACATACTTTTATTTTTCATATTTGCTGACAGATTTTAGTTAGAACTAAAGCAAATTCTTTCTCTGCAGATTGAAGCAGCTCTATTAGTATGCCATCTGTTCCTGATTATTTATTTCTCCCAAGTGCAGTTTCACTTCATTTTTTTAAATTGTAGGTTCATTTTCAAATGGTTCTTCCTTGAATGAAACTGTCATCCTTTCATCTTCTTTATAGTTCTTCAGTGTACTCTTTCCATTGGTTTATTATTTGTACTTGGTCATGTAATGTACAGTCCTCCCTCCATTCCAGACCCCCACCCCACCCCCCGGTAAAAATGGAGATTCACCAATATCCAAGCCCCATAGGCTTGAATGGGATGCACCCCCATGGGCGCATGTAGGAACATGCCCACATGGGCATGCCCCATTGATTTTAACTGAGGATGTCCCTCAATGAATATTCAAAACCACAGACCTCAAGTCCACAAGAATGGAGGGG